TGGAATGGCCGGGAAGGCACTCCCGGACGCTTGCCCTGCGTTGACCGCCCAGCATCCTGATGCCAGGCCTGGGCACCTCCCGTCCACTAGCTCGCCCCGACCCCCAAGTCCCCTCCCACTTGGTAGCAGCTCCAACGGGGGACAGCCTGCTTCTTGTTAACCCGAGTTACTCAACTGCTCGACCTCACTGGTTTTGCACTGAAGTTTGCACCATCTCCTATGGCTACAGATCCAATGATGTACGTGAAAATTCAGCGTTTGCTGATCCAGGACCCGTCGCCACACAGAAGGCTCCAGGGCAGAGAATCCTTGTACAAGTAGGAGAGAAAGGCCATATGGTATTTTCTGCAGCTCCACCTGGCCCATGGCAGCCCCGGACTCCCAACCCCTTCTAGCTGCCCCACCGGGAGCCCCGTCCAGCCAAGGGCCTGGTGTCATCTCAGCCCCAGGCCGCCAGGCCGGTGCAGCCGAGGTGGGTGGCTCCCGAGAAGCCTTGCCTCGGGCTGCGGGGCCGGGACCAGCCGGGCTTCACTTCTCCGCTCCTCGCCGGCCGTCAGCCAAGGCCCTGCGCCTCGGCCGCCCCTCCACGTTTCTACACCTTTCTACTTCTCCAACCTGATTTCTAGGAGGTTTTTTTAAGCGAGCAATCCTTGGCTGCTTCCTTTTCTTAACTCTTTCAGTACCAAACGCAGCCCCGCCACAGGAAAACGCCCAGCACTGTGACGGAGTCCAGCCTGGTTCTGGGTCCCAGGGCCCTGTCCCCTGCCCAGGCAGCGGGGCGTGGGCTCCCTGCCTCGCCTGACCCCCGTTAATTCCACTGAATTTCTACTGTGGGGTGAGTGGGGCACACACTTAGGTTTTTTTTAACGCCAATTCCGTTTCGATGCCGAATCTAAGAAGCCAAAACTCGCTTAGTTAGCTTCAGGGCAGGCAGCCACGACTTCATTTCCCACCTGGTAAGGACCGCACTGTGCTGCGCGCTGGGTCTGAGCGTCAGCCCTCCCTCCCCGGAACCGACGGCGGCAATCTCAGCCGTGGCCTCAGCCCCGGCAGCCCCTCCGCTGCTGCTCTACCTGCTGAGACGGGGGAGCCTGCCTGGCCTCAGCCAGCCGTCCAGCGACCAGGCTCCGTCTGTGCGAAGCTGCTGCCAACCTGGATACGGCCTCAGGGCCTCGTGGGCTGGGACGGGGAGGCGCGCAGACGGCTGTTAACATTTTCCCGTGTGTAGATATGTACAGCCAAAGGGTCGTGTAAATGTTCTGCAAAAGTGGGTCTGTACAGAGTGAAAGCTATTTATTTTGTGCAGAGAAAAATGTCTGGAGGGATGGGACCTTCAGGGTTTATTCATATTTAAGAGGTAGCTTTTTGTTGTTGTTTCAGGCGTTATGTATAAAGCGACGATTATTTTATGGACCAAGTTTTAATGTAACTGTTGCAGTGGAAGTGCAATATCTAACCCCTTGCTCCCAGCGGGAATCGCTTGGCCCGACAATCACAGCCCCGACGAGGGCCCCCATGGCCAGTGCCGCCTCCTGTCGGTCCCACCTCACCCCCGTCTCGCCTGTCGCCCGGTGAGCAGCCATCCACAGGAGCACCTGGAAGAGTCTCAGCCCGCCTGCAATAAAGGCCGGGAGGCCGGGTGGGCAGTGGGCTCGGCCTCTACCAGCGGGCAGCTCCCCCACGGCTCCGAGCTCCCCGCCTGCCTGCCCAGCCGCCAGCCATGCCAAGGACAACAGCAATAGTCCCCGGGCCTCTCCCAGTGGCCCTCAGCCATAGATGGTGAGGTGGGCAGCCCAGCCTCCCTGGTGACGTCTGTCTTCTCTATCCAGGTCTGCTTCCTGGCCTCCCTGAAGATTCCTTTCGGCACATTATCCTCTTAAGGAAGCACCAGTTTTTTCAGAAACTAAGAGAGGGAGGACAGAGTCCTTGAAAAATACCAAAAATGTTTACAGCATTGGGTGCTGAGCTGCAGGGCTCAGGCCCGACCAGTCGTAACCAAAGGGTGAAGCAGGCCTTGCTGACTGCCACCCCACCCCAGGCCTGTTAGAGTAGAAGCCTTAGTCCCACTCCCACCCCCGAGCCCCCAGGACTGAGCCTCAGCCCGCCACCCCCCAGATCCCCCCACCTGCCTTCTCTTTGATTTCTAAAGAGGGATTCAGCAGAGACCCCACGCCCCCTTCCTAGCTCAGTCTGAGCTGCCTGCCCGCCCACCCTCCACGTCGCAGTCTTCACATCTCGGCCCCCTGTCTGTCTGTCTGGACCGAATGTGAGTGGTGTCCTGACTTGCCCCCGCCCGCCCTTGCTGTCCCTGCTCCATCAGGCCTGAGTGTGCTCTGTGTACTGTGTCGTCGTCTGTTACACCAATTAAAGAAGCAGGAAGGCTTCCTTCTGGGTCTCAGTACTGCGCCGGCAACCAGAGCCCCGGGGGGAGGGGGGAGGGGTGCGGGGGCCGGGATGGGGGCCCAGCCTGTCCTGTGAGGGGAGAGGCTGTCCTTCCCAGTACACAGCGTCAGCTACGCTCACAGTAATACCAGTACACTCACGTGGGTCTTACCTATGCTGGGCCCCCTTCTAGCCCCTTCCAGCCCTTTCCCAGGCATGAACTGTTGGTCCTCATAGCAACCAAGTCAGGGAGGCGGGTACTGTCCGCCTGTGCTTCACAGAGGACACAGCCAGTAAGCTGGGCCAGGATTCCTCCCGGGCCACCAGGATTCTCAACTGCGGTCGTCCGTGGCATAAGCAGCGAGGGCGGCAGCCTCCCTCCAAGCCTGAGGAAATCCAGTGTAAGAGCCGAGGGTCTGGGATTCGGCTGGAGGTGGAGCCCTGGGTCCGGTCCAGGCAGGACCCCCTCTGAGGGTGAGGAGGGCAAAGGCGGCTGGCGTGGCCCGCCCTCCCCGCAAGCTCCCGGGTCCTTGTTTTTGCCCGAAGTAGGGCTGCGCTCTTCTCCCCTCCCCCCTCAGCACGAAAAGCAAGAGCACAGAAGTCTCCAAGCAGGGTACGTTTAATATCTGGGAAGCTACACTCTTTCAGGCGTTAGGGGAGCCAA